AAGGGAAGGAGAGCAAGAACAGGAGGGCCCACTGGCCCCATGGACCCCGGGGGCGCGCGCGGCCCCACAAGACCCGGCCAGACCAGGCTGGCAGACGCGAAGCGGAAGGAGGTCGCCCATATAACGCAGGCAGGGGGCCTGTCACGTTAGGGGACTGGCGTATTTTATATCTATATGTTTTTTTCCAATGTGTTTACAGCGGCACACCGCTGCAATGAATTGCGTGCTTGCCGTTGTTTTTTAGTGTTTCAGGCGGGGCCTGGATGGGCCCCGGGTTCTTGTTCGCCGCCGATTACTTGATACCCTCGGGCCTTCAGGCCGCCACCCTCGTCAGGCCCCCTTGCGATTGCCCTGCCTGCGTCCGCGCGGTGGGCGCGCGAGGGTCGGGCGAGCGCGGCCCGGGGCCCGCGGCGCCGCCCGCGCTCGCCAAGCCCCTGGAGGTCACCCTGGGCGCGCATCAGGAGCGCCCCGTCTCGCGAGCGCAGTTGCCGTCAGATCTTGAGACGCGCCCGTCCGACGGCGCGCGCGCGCGGTTGATCGTGCTCTTCTTGCTTCGCCGGCTCGCAGTTGGCCATTGCTTTCTCGCGCTGCCATTCTCTCTCTCTCTCTCTCTCTCTCTCTCTCTCTCTCTCTCTCTCTCTCTCTCTCTCTCTCTCTCTCTCTCGCTCTCTCTCTCTCTCTCTCTCTCTCTCTTTCTCTCTCTCTCTCTCTCTCTCTCTCTCTCTCTCTCTCTCTCTCGAGGCACCGCTCGTAGCCTGCTGCCGAAAGCCGAGCCCAATCGCGCCGACTCCGACGCAGCCGCGCCATATTTTCCTATAAGAACCGATTGCAGATGCTAGATCCGTGGATATCCCGGATCGGCAGGTCTTGATCAGTTTCTGGGGCGACCCTAACAATCTTGCGTTTCACCATCGAGTCTTGCGTTTCGCCGCCCATGCGGCGGGAAAATGGATAGTTGGCGCGCCCGACTTCGACGCGCAGCGCGCCGACCTCGCCGAGCACCTCGACGAAGACATCCCTCGACGATATCGCGCCCAGACCTATGCCTTCGACGTGCCGAAGGGCGGGTCGCGACCCCCTGGAGGTCTTCGGACTCGTCGGGGCGGCGGGCGCGGCTTCGCTGGGCGGCCGCTGGCGCGTCTCCGACCCGGCCCGCGCCGCCTTCGCCGACGAAGTCCCAGAAGCCGCGATCGGCGACCGCGACCAGATGATCACCAGAGAGTCCGTCGTGCTCGCGCGCGTCGACGACAGCGGGCGTCGGCGGCGCCGGCGTGGGAATCCGACGTCGACGAGTGGAAGCGTCTAGAGGCCATGGGCCCTGGCCGCGACGCCCGCCCCCTCGGCGACGAGATGGTCGGTGGCCTCCCGCGCGTGTCGTTCCAGGAGATCGCCGAGCGGTCGAAGCTGGGCCCGCGCCCTGGGCGGCCTGTCCAGGGCAAGGCGGCAGCGCCAGAGCTGCAGCGGGCCCTCGTGGCAACGGGCCTCGACTACGGCAGACGCCGCCTGGACTGGCGGTCGAAGTCGGCGTGAACATGAATGGCGTGGTCTGTCGTTTCCACCGCCACCTCTCGGAAGCTCTGACCCAGTTCGGCGCGCGCAACCTGCTCGACCCCGTCAACGCTGTCGGCGTCGAGTGCCTGAGCAAGCGGCTGCGCGAGATCGAGGCGGCCGTTCGCTGCAAACCGGAGATCCCGATTCGCAAACCTCGAGGGGATCTTCGCGGCCCCGCTCGGCGAGGACGGCCGCGCCCTCCTGCCCGACTTCGGCGGCTCCGTCTCTGGCCTGCAGCGCGACGAGGCCCGGCGCATGAAGCAGATGAGGCTGCGGCGCGAGGAGACGGGGCGCCTCCGCCGCGGCGGCCGCGGCGGGCGCTCCGACGAGGGCGGCGGCGGCCAGGGCCGAGGCGGCGACGGGGCCGCCGACGGCGGCCAGGCCCCTCAGGGGCCGCGGTGGCGAGGTCCAGAGGGCGGAGGTTGGCTCGACTCTGCCCCCGCCATCTTTTGCCTCGCCACCGCGATCATCGAGCTCGGCGCGGGCGCCATGCTGACTGGCGAGACAATCGCGCGCTCCGAGGTCGCGCCCATGGCGATCCCTTTTCCCTTCCGGTACCGCGCCAATGGGAGTTCGTGCGCGGCGGCCGCTCCAGGCAGCCGTCGTGCGAGAGGCGGCGCAGAGAGGCTCCTCGATCACTCGGTGCCCTCGACGCTCCGACCCGGGCTTTTCGCGCCCATCAGGCCCCTGCGGGGCGGCGCCCTACGATGGCGCGGCGCTCCGTGCGGCGACGGACGCGGGCGAAGGTGCATCGTTCTCCTGCTCGGCCCGCTCTCTCTCCAGCTGAGTGACGCCTTCCATGGCCTGCCGACGCATACATTCAGATCAACTTCGACACCTACGACCATATGACCCCGAGAGGCCTCGGGCTCTGCACGGGCCGGTGACCCCGCGTCCGCTGCGCGACCGACTTCCGCTTGAGGGCCTCCGCGCTCTCGACGACGCCGGCCAGCTCATCTCCCCCTCGGTCGCCGAGATCGACGCCCTGGCCGGCGCCATCGCTCCGGCGGCCCCACTGCAGCCCCGTCATCAGGCACGACCGTTCGGCGAGGCTGGACTTCGTCAAGAGCCTGCACGCGGTGGGCATGGTTGTGTTCAGGCTGGGCATGGCATCGGGGCCTTCTTCGTCGCTGAGAAGGATGGCATGCTGCGGCTGGTGCTGGACGGGCGCGAGGCGTCTGCCCTCCGTCGCCGGCCACCCCGCTCGTCGGTGGGCTCCGCGGAGGCCCTGGCCGGGCTCGACCACTCCCCTCAGGCTTTGTATCGAGAGAGGGCCTCGGCGACGGCGACGTCGGCCCCCGCGACGCGGGCGTCGACCTCCGCTTCGGCTTCCACCAGTTCGTTGACGATGACCTCGCGGACTGGTTCGGCTTCGACTTCCCCGAGGCCTCCGCCGCCTTCGGTAACCCCGACGTCTACGTCGCCGACTCGCGCTCATTCGGCAAGGTCGCGGCCGACGCGAGGATCTTCCCCGTCTTCCGCGGCCTGCCGACGGCGGGCTCGGCACAACCGTGCGCCATCTCGGAGAAGCAGCGGGCCCCGCCTATTTCCGCGGGGCGGTTTCTGATCTCGCCCTACGTCGACAACGCCAACATTGTCGCTCTCCGCGCTGTGACGCGGAGGCCGCCCTCCAGGAGGTCTGCGCTGAGCTTGATCGCCGCCAGCTGGCGTGCCATGAGCGCGCGTCGAGCCCGCCCGCGCGCGCGCGCGTCCGTCGGCGTGATTTTTGACGGGCAGGGGCGGCGGCCACGATGCGCTGATTCACGGGCATGGAAGCTCTACCTTGGTCTGCAGCATCTTCTCGGCCTGGGCGGGGCCACGGGCTTCGCCCTTCGCGTCGTCTACGGCCACCTGGTCAACTTTTTCATGTTGACACGCCCCGCCCTCGCCGTTTTGGACAAGGGATACCATTTCATCGCGGAGCGCCGCGACTGGCCCCCCTCCCGGCGATTGGCCATGCCCCCCCCTTCGTTTGTGCACGCGCAGGCCGCGGGCTATCTGAAGCAGCGCGGGGGGGCCCCCTTTGACTCTCAGCCGTCGGTGCTCCAGCCGCGCTTTTAGTATTTGGCCGGAGGCGTGAGTCGGGCTCTTGGTGTTTTTTGGGGGTGGGTAGCGGGCCGCGAAGCGGCTGAGCCCCACTTGGCGCCATGCTTAATAACAAGTGTCCCCTCGCCTCCCCCCGTAAACTGCGGGGCCCCTCGTGGGGGATCTGCTCTTGTTCGGGTTTCCCCTTTCATTTTGGGGCCCCCCTTCCCGGTGCCCTCCCTGTCTCTCCCATTCCTCACAGCCCTCTGGCTTTGAGCTGGTTGCGCGATGTGTCCTCCCTCCCGCCGTGCACTCCCGCTCCGAAGCGAGCGGGGCGGCGGGCCGCGGAGCGGCTGAGCCCCACTTGACGCCACGCTTGGTAAAGTGTGCCCCTATCGTCTCCCCCTGTAAACTGCGGGGGCGGAAAAGGGGGGGGGGTGATGACTAGGGGGGGTGGATATCATGGCGTGGGCCGTGATGTTTCCCCAGATTTCATGGCGCCTCTTCTAATTTCATTACGCCCCTGGCCCCCCCCCCCTGGGCCGCGCACGTGCCGCCGGCCACGATTTGCACCCCGCTTCTTGGACACCCCCGAAAACTGCGGGGCCCCCCACGGGGAGCCTATGATCAGGCGATCGCAACCATGGATGAAGGGGGCGTGGACTAGTGACGGGCCCCGCTTCCATGGGAAATCGCGGGCTTCCGCCGCCGAGCGAGGCGGCACCGGCCGCATTTCGGAAAGGGCACCTCCCCCGATCCATGGATTTGGCGACCGCGCGCCAAGTCCATGGATCGCTAATCCATGTTTGCGCGCCCCCGATATGAGTAAGGAGCAGTGATAAACCTTTTTTCCTGGAATGGAAGAAATTGGGTTGGAAGAAGAATTGCCCTGCGCCACATGCGCCCTGAGGGCTGGTTGGATGACCGCGCAGTCGCAGCGCCAGTGATCAATGAACGCTTGCTTGCTCGTAGTAGGTGCGCTGTCCAAGCTGTGTCTGCGCACAGATGATCCGCCCATCTTCCTCCTCATCCTGTAACCTCCATCCTCCTCTTCCTTCCTCCTCCACTTCGCTCTCCGTGCCACGTTTGAATTCAATTCCGCCGCGCGGAGACCCCACGCTGCGTTGTCGACCATGACAAGTCGGAGCTCAGAAGAAGGCCAACGCCGCTGTCTGGCTGTCGCGAGACCTGGGCCCAGAAGACCCCCCCCTTCCTGCACCGCCAGCCGAGAGGCCAAGTGTGACCCGCGTGTAGGGATATCCCTATTCTATGTCGCAGTCCCCTGGTGGTTTCGGCGCAGTCATTCGAGTGTCGCGTCTTCTTCCCGCGCAGCCAATCGCTGCGTTCCTAATTTGCCCGACGCGCAGCCAATCGCTGCTCTTCAAATTCGTTCGCTGCTGAAAAATCGCGGCTGCACGCCATAGATGACCCGCGCCCCCTGCACCACCAGCGCCACCACCGCCGCGGAGCTGCCGTCTGGCACCAGCGTGCGGCGCGCGCAGGGCGCGGCGGCGACTGGAGGTGAGGACCCCTCCACGGCGACGCAGGCGGTGAGGACCAGGGGGACGGATCCGGTCGGGGAGGGCGGGGCGCGCGGACGTGCAGCGGCATTGCTTTCATCTGCGTCAGCACGAAGGCGGGCTAACGCCAGCGGGCCCGCTCAAGGAAGGCGCCAGTGGCACCACTCCTCGGCCGTCCTGGGGCCCTCCAGCGCGGGCGCCCCACCCCGATGCCTCCATCGCCGAGCCTCCCGCGGGCTGCCCGTTCACGTGTGTGCAGGCTTCCCCCCCTATCCCCCAGCTTCAGCTTTCGCTGTGGCACGCCACACTTGAGGCGCCTTCGTTGCAGCCTTCTTGAGTCGGTTTTCCACTCGCACGGGTGCCTCCCTCCCTCCCCCTCTTCCACCCGCTGCTTTCGCTTCCCTCCTCGTCCTTCCTGGTCCCTCCACTTCCTCTTTCCATTCCTCCACTTTCCTGCCTCCCTTCGGCTTCCTCCCCTTCCTACACTTCCCTCCTCGTTCCCCGTCCCCCTGCTCGAGACGTCGTGCGTTGCGGACCCTGCCAGCGCTTGGCGCACGCTACCATTTGCAGAGCACATCACCGTCTTGGCGCGCATGTTGCTTAGAAGCGACTGCTGTGTATAGTGCGCTCTCGCACCCGCTGCTGAACCTCGTACATACTCTCCCAGAGAGTCACCAATGGTGGCTCCAGCGCCGCGTGTAAGCGTTCGGTCGGCCGCTGCTTCTAGTCGGAGTTGGTCGGCCAGTTTGCGACGCCGTGTGGCGACACACGGCTCCTCATAGGGCGACACACGCCATGTGGCGACACGCGTGGGGGGGCGCCTCCTCCCGGGTGCCCTGCCGCACGTCGACAATCGGACCTGCGGCGAGTGCACCGCCTCGCTGGAAACACTCCTCCTGGCGAAGGGCCCCACCCTCGGCAGCTGCGGCGCGGCGCGGGGGCGCGGCGGGTGCCTCCCTCCTCGCGAGCCGCGCACCGCCGGGGCAGTGCCGCCGTGTGGCTGCGGAGCGGGCGCGCAGGAGGGCGTGAACTCCCTGTGGGGCACGATGCTCGTGAGGGATGAGCCGGAGTTGGCGTGGCGCCGCCGTGCTCGGCGACTGCGCAGGGTGCGGTTACGCCGGGGTGTGGTTTGCGATCGGCACCGCTGGGGTCTGGGGAGCACGACGCTGTCCTCGTCGGGCCTCCTCGGGGCGCGGCGGAGAGCTCTGTCGAGGTCCTCGCGGTGCCCCCCAGGATGTTGGTTGCAAAGCACCCCTTGGCGAACCACACCCTTCGGAGTCGCCGACATGCAGACCCTCCCACTAGGGCCGCAGGTGGGTATAGTTACCCTTGGGGCACGATCCACCCTTGGGACACGATCCGTGTGAGCGTTGTGCCGGCATCTGCGCGGCGGCTTCGAGCTCCCCCCTTAGGCCGCAGGTGGAGCTTGCTAGAAATGGGCGGAGGAGCGCAATGCGGATTCGCCGATTGAGACCACAGAAGGAGCTCTCTGTTGGGCGCGATCCTCGTGTGAGGTGTGCGAGCTCCACTGGGGGCACAGGTTGAGCTCCCGTACAGGACGCAATCCGTTTGAGCGGTGCGCCGAAATCGGCGGGGGTGATGCCATGCGAGTTCTTCCACTGGGGTCTTATGCCGAGTTCCATACGGGCACGATCCGCATGAGGGGTGTACCGAAATGAATAAAGGGACGCCATGGGAGCACCCCCACTGGGGCCACAGGAGCTCCCAAGGGGCGCGGTCCTCGTGAGAGGTGTGCCGACATGGACGGGGGACGCCATGCGAGTTCCATCGCTGGAGCCAAAGGTGGAGCTCCCCACGTGGCACGGTCCACGTGATAGGTCTGCCGAAATAGACTGGGGTACACCATATGAGTTCCTGCACTGTGGCCACACCTATAGGGCGCGATCCACGGAGGGGAGGGCACGATCCGTGCGATGGGTGTGTCGAAATCGAGATGCGGACGCAGAGCGGAGGCATGGAGAGGAGGAGAGGTGAGGAGGAGGACGTTGTAGGAGGAGGAGGAGGAGGAGGAGGAGGAGGAGGAGGAGGAAGAGCAGGAGGAGGAGGAGAGGAAGATGGGGGCGGCGTCGCGAGTTCAGCACGAGGACCCAACAATACGGGAGGGTGGGGAAGACGAGAGGCGCGTCGATCGGGGAGCAGTCGGCCTCGCTCGTGCAGCAGGTGCTTCCATACCGGAGAGCGCTGCCGACGGAACTCGAGTCCAGAACATTGCAATTTGCAGCATCCTGTCCTGCTCCTGCTCCTGCTCCTGCTCCTGCTCCTGCTTCTCCTCCCTCCTCCTCCTCCTCCTCCTCCTCCTCCCTCCCCTCCTCCTCCTCCTCCTCCTACCTATGGTAGGGGCGGAGCCCGAGGGACATCAGACGCGAGCCAGAGTTTGCCCATGCAGAGCCATGTTGTCATCATAGTTCGGATCGCGGCTTCTGCACGCCTGTTCAGTCAAATTGTGTTGTTGGTGATGTTGGGTGCTAAGTTGCGTAAATGCTGTCACAACCGCCCCTGGTACATGGTAGTGGCCACCCAGGAACGCCCTCGACTCATCGTGGGCACCCCCACCAACAAACCGTACAATGATGAATTCTTTCCAGTACCTCTGTGTGGCTCTCGTACTGTCCAGGTGCTCGTCCACCCCCCTGATCCTTCCGCCATCCTGTTTGCTGTCCCTACAACTGCATGGTTTGCAAAGTTGTCGAAGAGTATCGCAGTTCCCAATCGATCGCAGACTCGGGGTCAAATGGTCTGGGGCAGAACACCTGACTACCTGGGTCCTGGCCACAGGGTTCCCCCCAGGGTGGCTGCTTAGCACTGTTCGGGAGAACGTGTGCATGTATTGCCCTGATGAGCTCAGATGCGCACCTTCATTCACCACTACAGTAAGTGGACTAGATTCCCCGTGGGAATGTTGACGAGGCGTTTACGTTTGCTCTAGTTGAGGACGTGGTTTCGGCGTGGCTCGCTCTAGCTCTCTAGCTGCCCTCTCTTGCGAGAACCGCTAAATCCGCGCGAGGGACGCGCGATGTCTTTCGTAAGGAAAAAGGGCTGGAGCGCACTCGTCTTGTCGGCATCAGCGGCCGAAACACTTTCCCGCGTACAAATCAAGGGCTAGAGCCCACACCGTGGGCGGCTGGAACGTCGTCCCTCGTAACAACGAAGGGCTGAAGCGCACTCACCTTATCGGCATGAGCGGCTGGAGCATTTTCCACCGTGAGAATTGAGGACTGGAGCCCACACCGCTGGCGGCTGGAACGTTGTCCCCGTAACACTCATTCGGCGGCGAGCGAGGGGGGGAGTGAGAGGGATAATTAGGGGGGCACATGCGAACCCTACCCCTACCCCCCACGATTTCTGAGGGGGAGGGTGGGGTTCACTTCGTTTGGGAGCTCCCGAACGAAGTGAACCCCACCCTCCCCCTCAGAAATCGTGGGGGGTAGGGATAGGGTTCGCATGTGGCCCCCTGAGAATGCCTTCTCAGAAGGCGGCGGTACTTCTCAGCAGCCCTCTGGCCTTCTGCTGAGAAGCTGTCTACGTCATCGGGGAGGGCTGCTGCATCTTCTTAGAAGGCTGGGGGACTTCCGAGCCTGCTGAGTGCCCACGAATTAGAAATGAGCGCTCTGTAGGTCTATCTATGTTAAGTTCAATGTGTGTGTGCTGTTGGGGTCAAAACGATGCCAGAACCCGATCCTTCTCACTTCCCCTGGGGCTCGCCGCAAAACGACGGGATGGAGCGCAATCTTCTCGTCGGCATGAGCGGCCGGACTTTTAGCTCTCGTGCACTGAGGGCTGGAACCCACACCGCGGGCGGCTGCAACGTCGTCCCTCGTCAAAACTAAAGACTGGAACGTGTTTTTCGGGGGTCGTATTGAGCGGCCAGAGCATTTTCCTTCGTAGAAGTTGCGGGCTGGAGCCCACACTGTGGGCGGCTGGAAGGAAGGTTTGCCCTGGTAGGAATTGAGGTGGTGGAGCGCGCTCGTCTCGTGGGCATGAGCGCCTGGAACACGCTCCCTCGCAAAAATTGCCGGCTTGAACCAGACACCGTTGAGGGCTTGAACATGGAAACAGGGCGGGGGGAAGGAACGGGGTCGGGCTCGGGGGCGCGGTGCCTAGCATTGTATTCACGCGTCGCTCTCAAAAGGGGGTCAGTGCGGGCGCGCGCTCGTGCGGTCCGTCGGTCCGCCGGTCGGTCCAGTTGTCGGTCGTCGGTGTGTCGGTCCGTCGGTTCTTGTCGTCGTCGGTTGTCGTGGGTTGGCCGCCCGGTCAGTCCTGTCTTCGGTCGTCGGTCGGTCGGCCGCTCCGTCGGTCGTCGTCGTCGGTCGTCGTCGTTGGTCGGTCGCCGTCGTCGTCGTAGTCGTCGTCGGTCGTCCTCGTCCTCGTCGTCGGCCGTCGTCGGTCGGCTGGTCCGTAGACCTGTCGGTCGGTCGATTGCCGTCGACCCGTCGGCCGGTCGGTTGAAGTCGTCCGTCGGCGTCGTGAGAGATGGCTCCCTTTAGGCTCCGTTTCCTCTTGACTCCCTTTTGGCCCCCATTGATCCATAAACATCCCCGATCAGATGCTCATTAAATGTCGCTGCGAACAATGGTTCACTGACTGCAGGTGGCACATACCATCCGTCGCGTCGAGCGTCATATTTCTTTGATGGTTATGGACAAGCCCGACAAATTCACCATCGGACATAATCGGAGTCGGCATGCTGCACGTTCGTGTCATCAAATTGTTGGAGGATGCTTAACCCAAACGCGCTCCTCTGATCATCAAGCAGTGTCCCCCCCCCCGATGCAAGCATCCACCCTTTAACCAGCTGGATCGTGGTAGCTGGTTGCCGTCGTCGCCGTCCCCACATCCCTCCTTGTAGGCAGTACAGATACATATATATATATATATATATGTATATATATATACATATAGATATATGACCAGTCGGCGCAACATCGATCTTGCGATCGCTGGCCGCTTTCGTGGAGGCTTTGCTTACGTGGTTAAGACTGCGCACCATTCGTAGCAATATTTGGGAAGCTTGCGCATTTCAGGCGCCGTACTCTCCATGGCCTCTTCATACCTCGTCGCCCTTCCTCCCAGTAGTACGTAGTTCAGGCGGTGCAGACCATCGTGGATGGCCCTTCCAACACGTCATCTTGATACCTGCTCCCAATAACCCCCCTCCGAGGCACGCACTGCGCCATCTTGGGTCGCAGTATTAGAAGGCCGAGGGGACGAGGGCGCGGATGTGGGTGTGGATGAGGAGTAGAAGGAAGGGCATGATGCGAGATACTGACGGGAGAAGATTATGTTGAATAGGGAGCAGCTGGAGGGGCAGAAGGAGGAGCACGAGCAGGAGAAATGTTGGAGAGAGAGAGGAGGAGGAAGAGGAGAAGCAGGAGGAGGAGGAGGAGGAGGTGGGTGAGGAGGAGGAGAAGAGGAACAGAGGATGACGAGGATGAGCAGGCGGAGCATCACGACAAGGTGCTGGTCTATAGCGTTCCGATTGGGTGGGGAGCACCTTGAAGTTAAGTTCGCGTGCTGCTCAGGAAGTGTATGCCTCACCGAGTGCGATAGCAGTTGTTATGCACTGTAGCCATTCTGTTTCAAGATCGGTCTGCCTCCAGGGAAGAGTGCTCCCATCATGTTATCATGGCAGTGGAGCCCGTGCTTCGCCCCACCCCCTCCTCCCCCTTCTCCCCCTCCCCCTCCTCCTCCTCCTCCTCCTCCTCCTCCTCCCCCTCCTCCTCCTCCTCCCTCCTCCTCCTCCTCCTCCTCCTCCTCCTCCTCCTCCTCCTCCTCCTCCTCCTCCTCCTCCAGCGCGCGCGGCTAACTCTGCGAAGCAATCGCCTCCCTGCGATGGCGGCAGCGGTAGCCGCGACGGCCCCGCCGAATCTTGGCACAGATGGCCCAGGTTTTGATGTGACGTTGCCCGAGGCCCGAGAGAGCTGGTACGACCTGAACACGAATCGATTCGCGGAGCTGTGCAGCGCGGGCCACGAGCACGGGACACTTTCAGGTATGCTACCACCGTCAAAGCCAACCACGACGGGATGAGGTTGTTTTTCGGGCGCAGTGCCACACTAGGTACCAGGTCGGTTGACGATGATGAGGCGTCCACGATGCTGCAGATGAGTTGCAAGACGAATGCCCTTTTGATCTCTGTCATAAACCGCAACATGTACTGTGAGGAACAGCTCAACAGCTTGAATGAACACGTTCGGTCCGAATTCCAACGTCAAGCGAACGCTTCGGATCATGCCCCCAAATTGCCGAAACCATTGAGTCCGCCGGAAGCAGAAGGGCCGGAGGAGGTGGAAGCAGACCCGTTAGCGAAGACAGGGCCGTTCAACAGTTGAAAATGTTCTTTGGAGACCGGACCAAGTTCGGGGAGTGGCGCGAAAAGTTGTTGAACGCGCTTGCCCAATTGAAGCACGGTCATCGGAAAGCCCAGACTTTTTCGAACAACGACCCGAAACCATGGATGGGATATTGCCCGAAGACGAAGAGGATGGCATTATGCAGATCATGGACGGGAGGTTAATCCTGAGCGAATGCACCAAGGCGCCACTGACCAAGAAACAAGATGACGACGCTAAAGGGGAGCACGAACTCGATGAAGATGACTACGCAAAGTTAGACGAGGACCTCGTGGACGGAGCCTCGTGGAAAGCTCAAGGGCTTGCTTGAAGGAGACGGCCTATTGGCTTACCAAAAATTTAGACATGGGATTCGGTCGTTACAGGAGTCACGCTCGCACAAGATGAACCTGGGCATGAAATGATAAGAACCAAGAATCAACGACGTGGCGACCCAGCTTGAAAAAGGCAGTACATCGGTACAGATCCACGGAAAGTATTGGCATGCATATTCGTTAAACTTGCCACTCTGGCTTCTTGCTCTGAGGATCATGCTGATCCACGCGTGTGAGTGGTTTGACGATTGGAAGCAGGATTGCTTCAACACGCCCGATTCGTTTAACATTGTCACCTACCAGAAACTCCTTATCAAGTGCGAGAACTGGGCAAGAGAGGAAAGACTGGACGCCGACACGAACAATAACGACTCCATGAACATTTGCCAAGTTAACGACGAAGATGCTGGTGAATGAGGCGCAGGCGTGCAGGGTTCCAGTTATTACGAAGAAAGCGGAAACTGGTGGACTTGGGCCGTGGAAGACATGAGTGGAAATAGCGACGCGAATGAGGCCGGCAAGCGGGAAAGGCAAAAGTAAAGGGCCCACGTGTTACAAGTGTGGAGGAGATGGGCACGTTGCACAAAGCTGCGCCAGGAAAGGAGCCCCGGAAGGAATCGTAAAACAAGGAAATACACATGAACCAAGGGTTGCCATGTGGTGCAGGCAGGAGGGCGCAAAGGGGGATGTCAAGGCACCGAGGGTTGCCCGGGGGGGTAGCGTCAAGAGAGGCGACAAAGTTGACCCCCCAGGAGGTTACCAAGGGAGCTAAGCCCCAGGCGGGAAAGGAAGAGGCAAGGGAGGCGTTGTGCCGATCAGTGAGAGGGAGTGTTGCAAATGCAGCGAACAGGGTCACATCGCAGTCCGCTGCCGCAAGAACGCCAACGAGATCGCCCCGGGTCGTTGGGGGGGGGCGGAAGGCACAAGAGAGCCCACGCAGATGTCAGGGCGACCCCCATGTGGATCAGGATGCTACAGCGTCGACATGGGCGAGGCCACTGACGCAGATGGCGCTGCCGGCGGCGTCACGACACCGGTGCCAGTTAAAGGGGCGCAGGAGTGGAGGATGCAGGACTGGGAAACAGAAAGGAGGAACGGGGAGGCGAGGCCAGGGATCAAGAGGAGTCATGTGCCACATGAGCGCCGTGGCTGGCGCGTCGTGCAAGATTGCCCACTCGCCCGCTTTTCGTTCAGCCATCTCGTAAATGGCATGGACGTCGTTCGGATGCGTGTACGACAACATCTCCAAGGTTGCCAATCCTTGCCGATTAGCCTCCGCAGTCATCGAAGGGCGATTTGCTGCGAGGGTGCAGAAGCTACGGCCCTCAGCTCGTCGTAGTCAGTCTTCTACACCCGAAGCGCGTGCTGCAGCTTGGTTTTGTCGGTGACCGGCTCGGGGTCGGTGAACTTGCCGTTCAGGGCTGACGTGCATGTAGCACTGGACTTCAGGACGGCCCCGGTAAGAGCCGCCAGCATCGATATGCCGTCGGCGCGGTCTTCGTCAAAGTAAAGGCATAGCTCCTCGCACGCGAGCCCGCAGAGCTCGAAGACTAATGCCTTGATTGCTTTGGTATAGGCTGGGTTGTCGTGCGCCAGTGACGCGTCCAGTGCGCCAGTACGCATCAGCAGCGCCTTGTCTGCAGGCCACACCAGCTGGCGAGCTTGGTGTTGACCCACGCGCGCCACGACTTGACCGATGGAAGGGTCCGGGGACCCTTTGGCAGGGCGCGCAGCGGCAGCTTTGAGCTGTTGCCACCCCCGCCGCCGCCTGACTTCATGGCAGACAGCTCACGCACGACCTTTGAAAGGCTCTCCCCAAACTTGCACATGAGGAAAGTGCTCACGTCAGGTGCAGAGTTCGGCGCCGTTGTTGTTGGAGCAGGTTGTGGTGGTTTAGGTATCCCTGGTGGCTCCTCCTGGCGCCCAGCCGGGCGAGGCGCCTCGCCACGACTGTCAGCCCAGAGGGACGCATGTGCTGCTTGTCTACCTGCCTGTGCTGGTGTCCGTGGTGATGACCTGCGCGTCAACAGTGTTTTCGGAACGGAAGTGGACGGAACATCAGCCGACGGTTGATCAGGAGATACTTCAGCCAGATCGTCGTCATCGTCGTCGGGGATCCGAAGAGATGCAGCATCCGCTATCCGATCGATCATGCGCGCGGGCGAAGGCCACAGGGAGGATGCAGGCGCCAGGAACGAAGGGCTCATAACCTGAGGTTGGTGGAGGTCCCTCCGGGCGTGGCCTTCTACTTAGCTCCACAGGCCAAAGCGCAAGGCCAAGCAGGGTGGCAGCATGGGGTTTGTCCCTGCAGGAGGAGGGGGCGGAGGAGGAGAAGAAGGAGGAGGAGGAGGAGGCGGAGGAGGAAGAGGAGGAGAAGGAGGAGGAGGACGAGGACGAGGACGAAGACGAGGATGACGAGGACGAGGAAAAGGACGAGGACCAGGACCAGGACCAGGACCAAGACCAAGACCAGGACGAGAAGAAGGAGGAGGAGGAGGAGCAGCAGCAGGAGGTGGAGGAGGAGAAGGGGGAGGAGGGAGGAGGAGGGAAGGGGAGGGGAAGGGGAGGGGGAAGGGGAGGGGAAGGGAAGAGGACGAGGACGAGGACGAGGAGGAGGAGGATGAGGAGGCGGAGGAGGAGGAAAAGGAGGAGGAGGAGGAGGAGGAGGAGGAGGAGACGAACACGAGGAGGAGGAGGAGGAGGAGGAGGAGGAGGAGGAGGAGGAGAGGAGCGAGAGGGAGAGGGAGGGGGAGGAGGAGGAGAAGGATGATGATGATGATGATGATGATGATGAGGAGGAGGAGGAGGAGGAGGAGGAGGGGGAGGATGAGAACAGGTGGAGGGAAGGAGGAGGAATGGGGGGTAGGGGGGAGCGGGGGAGTGAAGGAGGGGGAGGGATGGATGAGGTGGAGGAGGGAGGGAAGAGGGAGGGATGAGGGAAGGGACCGCGACAGGTCCGTGGCCCGCGAGCCGAGCGCAAGAAGATGCTGTGGGACCGATTCAGGCTGCGCGCCGCCAGCCAGGAGGAGGGGGAGAAGGGGAAGGGGCCAGGGTGAGGAGGGGGAGGAGGAGGAGGAGGAGGAGGAGGAGGAGGAGGAGGAGGAGGAGGAGGAGGAGGCGGAGGAGGACGAGGTAGAGGAGGAGGAGGAGGAGGAGGAGGAGGAGGAGGAGGTGGAGGAGGGGAAGGGGCCAGGGTGAGGAGGGGGACAGACCCTGTGATCTCGCTCTGCTGGAGTTTTCGTGGGCTCGCGTGGCTTCCTGCGCCCTGGGATGCTTTCCAGCAGGCGCGCCTCGTCGAAAGCGTCCTGGGGGTGCCAGGATTGCCCTGTGCGGCCACCGCAGGACCGAGCCATGGCCTGAACGAGAAAGATCCTGGCGCTGTCATTTTGTCACGCCGTGCGTTTTCGCCCGGTTCTGTGTCCAGGGCCGTCACAGATCGATCGGGCTCGAAGAGTCTCTCAACAAGATGGGGTCTAGGGCTCCAGTGGTGTTTTCTGCCCCTATTTCCATGCCTCGCGAAGTCTGATCTCAGGGGAGGGGGAATGGAAGCGGAAAAGGAGAAGGAGGAGGTTGTAGAGATTCTTTCCATATGAACACAAGCAAGATGTCCGCGAGCGCCGCTGCTATACTGGACAAGTCACGGTGCCGCCTGGAAACGTATGCCTCTCAAGAGGAGGAGGAGGAGGAGGAGGAGGAGGAGGAGGAGGAGGAGGAGGAGGAGGAGGAGGAGGGGAGGCGGGGGAGGAGGAGGAGGAGGAGGAGGAGGAGGAGGAGGAGAGCAGGAGAGGAGGAGGAGGAGGAGGAGGAGGAGAGGAGGAGGAGGAGAGGGAGGAGGAGGAGGAGGAGGAGGAGGCGGAGGAGGAGGAGGAGGAGGGAGGAGGAGGAGGAGGAGGAGGAGGAGGAGGCGGAGGAGGAGGAGGAGGAGGAGAGGAGGAGGAGGAGGAGGAGGAGGAGGAGGAGGAGGAGGAGGAGGAGGAGGAGGAGGACAGGAGGAGGAGGAGGGAGGGGAGGAGAAAGTGGAGGGGTATCGTCGGGGTGTTGCGACGTTTGGGGCTTTCGTGGTGCCCTTGGAGGCCTCGTCACATGGTGACGAAGATGAATACAGTCACAGGAGGAGGGGGAGAAGAAGGGAGGCAGAAGCGGGGAGGCAGAGGATGAGGCAGAGCAGGACGAAGACGCGGGGGAGGAGGAGGAGGAGGAGGACGACGAGGAGGAGGAGGAGGAGGAGGAAGAGGAGGAGGGTGAGGAGGAAGAGGAGGAGGGGAGGAGGAGGAGGAGGAGGAGGAAGAGGAGGAGGAGGAGGTTACGTAAGCCACCCCCTCCTCCTCTCTTCATCCTTCCTTGCCTTTCCCTCCGTTCCTTCCTCACCTCCGTTTTCCCGAACCCATTGGGGCGCGGGCAGAGCTGGCCAGCGCCCAGCGCTTGCGCGTGCTCAGTGCAGCGGGCACGGCCTTCGGTCAGTTGGCTGCCGACCAGGGCGCGAGGCCAGTCCCGCCATGACCTCAGGCTGCGAGTGGCCATCCTTGCTTGGTTCCCTCGGCGTTGGGGGGGGGTCCCCCAACACGCCCACCCGTTCTCACTCGCCCATCGCGGCTCTAGAAAGCAATGACTGCAATCGCGCGCCAGTTCTGGTTACATCGGGTTGAATCTGGAATCATGTTCTGATGTCCTGAGGCCCACTGTCCTGAGTTACCGGTACGCTCCTTAAGCTATCGTTTTAACATCTTTGGCATGCAGCAATCTTCGGATGTTCCCCTCCCCCGTGGTTAGCTCGTTTGTCGTCACACGGCAGAGACAGCATCGTCACTCGCAGTGTGCCGCTGCGACTGTCGCTGCCTTGTATGGGCCGCCGTTCAACCTTTCAGTGCGCATGCTGACCAATTTTGGCGTCCAGTTTTCCCTCTCCTCGTCTCCCCTCTTCTCCTCCTCTCCTTCGCACCCCTGTTACACCTGGAAAGTACCACCGGGTGGATCAAGGAATCTGTCCACTCGCATGTTGAGGTGTTGGTAGGATGGACGCGGAAATCTGCAGTCCAACTCCGCTGCTCTGCCTGTGGCCGCAGCTTGCCCGCCGAGATGGGGCTCATGACCTGCAGGGAGAGGCGAATGGCGAAACGAAATCACACAAGGGCCCTACCGGGGCGGGACAGGGGCCGATCCTGAGTTGGAGCCTCAGCTCCTCCTCCCCGTCCCGCTGCTGCTGCTGCTGCTCCTCCTCGACCGCCTTCACCTCGCCTGCAGTATAGATCCTGACGGCACCAGCCGCCTTCAAAGCGCAGCTGATGGGGCAGCCCCCACATATGGGGTGAACGGCAGTGGATGTCAGCTAAAACTCCTCACCATGGCCCCCCATCGCCTCCCCCCTAAGATTCCGCGTCGCGAGAAAAAAACAGGGACGCCGTGAGATATCACGGCCAGAGCCCTATACCCAGTCTTTCTGCTGCAGCTCCCGTGCCGGATCGACGTGTGACGGCCCCCGGGGCCCGAAAAAGGGCGGCAACGCCCAGCAGCCCAAGACCCAAGTTGCCTGTGGCTCTTCTCGAGCAGGGTCGGTCTGTGTTGGCTCCCCGGGGCCCGGCGTGGATAGTAAAAGCGGGAGACACAGACATGCAGGGCGGGAGTTGCTGCCTCGGCCAAGCAGGGCGGATACCCACGCAAAGGTGATGGGCGGAACCAGCAGCGGACAAGCAGGGCGAACATCGACATCAGCGCAGCTTGAACATTCTAGACGCTTCGCGTACCCCCACCAACCAGGAGATATATCGATTGCCTCTCCGAGCTGTCTGGCCCGTCCATCCTCCTGCGACTCTCCCCCCGCAGGTGGTACACGGGCTTACCCACTTTTCGCTCCTGCGGCTGGTAGCTGCGTCCAAAGTGTCTACGTGGCCCCCAGCGCTACCCCGGCGCCCCCCGTGCTGTTGACTGCACGGTGCAACCTCGGCTCGCACCCGTCGCCCTTCGGTGGTCCCGCGCGTTGGTTATGCTCCGTGGTACGTCGACTGAATGGACGGACGCATCGCCAGTTGATGTAGGATTTCAGACTGCTCCTTCGTGAGGCTGGCCCACGCGGTGTGGTCACAATTCTCGGACTCGACGACGGCGTTGGTGATTCACGTCCAGCCCACGCCGACTCGTAGCCGAGGACAAGTTTGGTGAGGACATGCTCGTCAATGTGAAGATCGCTGGGGACAAGCTCGCCGAGAACACGCCTGCTGAGGGTCCCTCTTCGGCACGCGGGCCTGGGCACTGTTCCTTCTTCGGCCTCTCGGTCGCTGCGCGCGCCTTGCCCCGTTCCCGGCTGCTGCTTTTTAGGTCTTCGCTGGATCTTAGTGACGGCGCGCGGCTCCTCCGCTTGCGCCCGTGAACAAAAAGTATCCCCACCAGCCCTTCCAGAACCGATGCCCATGCGAGTCGAGGTGATCAGGGAAGTGCGGGAGCAAAGAGGGGGGCGGCCGAACCGTGCGATTGAGGGAGGAGGAGAAGGGGGAGGCTGGATGGATGGATGAGGGAGTGGGGAGAAGGAGGATGAATAGGAGGAGGAGGAGGAGGAGGAGGAGGAGGAGGAGGAGGAGGAGGAGGAGGAGGAGCAGGAGCAGGAGCAGGAGCAGGAGCAGGAGCAGGAGCAGGAGCAGGAGCAGGAGCAGGAGCAGGAGCAGGAGCAGGAGCAGGAGCAGGAGCAGGAGCAGGAGCAGGAGCAGGAGCAGGAGCAGGAGCAGGAGCAGGAGCAGGAGCAGGAGCAGGAAGAGGGTAAGCAAACAGGCCAGAGGTCTCTTGGATGTCTCTCGGGGCCTTTTAGGGTATCTACTGGGCGCTTCTAGGTGGTCTCTTGGGACGTTTTGGGGGTCTCTTGGCGGTCCTGGGGGGCTCTTGGGCGTCTTGGGTGCCTCTTTGGGCCGCTCGGGGTCCTCTTTGGGGCGTCTTGGGGCCATCTTGGGGCCATCTTGGGGCCTCCTGGGAGTTTCTTGGGGCCCCCTGGGCGATTCTTGGGGCCATCTTGGAGGAGATCGATCAAAAAAGAGGGGAACTCCTTTTAGCCTTGCCCCCCCCCCCCCAAGAGGCGAAAATGGGGCCCAAACCCTAGTGAAACCAATGAGTTTGGCTTCCTCGCAGAGGCCGTTTTGGGCGCTCTAACTACCCGCGACCGGCCCCGTCCAGGTCCGGGGGGAGGGAGGGGCGGATGAGGAAACGCCCCAAACCGCCTGCGCCCAGAGGGCTGGTGGGACTAGGGCGGACATTTCCGCCCTAGTTCCGGAGCCGTCGGAAGCACGGCGGATCCGAAATCAGAGTCGCTGCCAGCTGCTCCGGCTCGGACCGCCCCCCCGCACGCCCTGCCCAGCAGACCCCGAGCGGCCCCTCCATCAGGGGCAGCGGCAGGGGGGGGGAGGGATAGGCTTCTCCTCCTCCTCCTCCTCCTCCTCCTCCTCCTCCTCCTCCTCCTCCTCCTCCTCCTCCTCCTCCTCCTCCTCCTCCTCCTCCTCTCCTCCCTCCTCCTCCCGGGGGGGGCTCGGGGGGGGGACAGGACGTCTCGAGGCTCGCTCGAGGTGTCTGATGCTGTCTGCCGTGCTCGCTCGTTGCCGCGGGCCCGCCAGCCTCGGGGCGCCCGCGCCCTGCCGAGAGCGCTCTACCGGGGCGGCCCAGGTCGCCCCGAGCGGCCGCCGGAGGTCCAAGGCATGGCCCGGAAGCCACGGTTGCGGGACGGGAAAATGTCAGGAGGAAGGGAAACACACAGACACAATTAATCCTCGATCCCCCAGAAAATATTGGAAGATATGGGAAGTGGGGGGGAAGACAGAAACCCAGAACATATGGGAAAATATGGGGAATATTTTGATTTGTGTGTATTTATTTGTGTGTCCTTGGGCCCCTTCAAAATGACCATAGCCACTGCTTCTTGTATGCGCCGCCTCCCAGCCGGCCGAAGAAGAAGCAGTGGTGGTGGTCATTCCCCTCGTGCCGAGCTCAGCGAAAATGACCACAACCGTTGCTTTGTTTCTGCTGGCTGGAAGGCGGCAACAAAGGAAAAGCAGTGGCTGTGGCCGTTTTCACGTCCCGTAACGGTGCAACGTCAGGGGGGGGTTGAGGCCCAGGAGGGAGGGCGGATCGGCCTCCAATCGCCCATTCACCGCCGATGCGGGCCTGATAGCCGACCCCGCCCAAGGACGCGCGGATTCGTCATCGGAGGCCTATCGCCGGTCGATCGGCGACGTGTCGCCGATTCCAGCTCGACGTTTTCCCCCCCGATGGCCTGATGTTCTGCTGGTTTTCGGGCACGAGCTCGGGCCGTGGACAGCCGTTCGGGACGACCTGGGCACCCCCAGCACGCGCGCGGCAAGGCGCGGCCGGTGGAAAAAGCGGCGTCCCGAGGCTGGAAGCCGCCCAGAAGCAACGCAATCGCCAGGACACACCACAAGCTTTCTGACCACAGAGCTTCCTCAAGGGCCTCTCGACGCTCCTGATCAGGGGGGAGTGGCCAGCCACCAACCACCAGCTCAGGGGGGGCCCCAGAGCTTCCTCGAGAGCCTCCCGAGGCGTTTCCCCCCGAGCTGGTGGTCCCCCGCGCATGGCTTGGGCTCGCCACGCCCAGGCTCTGTGCCAGTTCCCCCCGTGAAGGGGGCGGGTGCAGGCGGCGGAGGCCTCGCGGGGCAACCAGCGACTGTGGTTCCGAGACGGGCGGTCGCTGAAGGTAGATACCTCTGGAGTCCCAGGTCCCAGTCTGCTTCTGGCGCCCTCCTAATTACCTCAAGAATCGGCCGGGTTCTGCTGTGCGCTGTTTTTGTTGTCATTCTCTGGGAGGGCCCCTCCTGCTTCAAGAAGCCACTCTGCCCGCCGTCCCACGTCATGCCTCTGCCTACTCCTTCCGGCCGACGTGCCTGCTCTGACCCCCCTCCCCGCTTCGCGAGGGGGCGGGTGCCTGTGACCGTGAAGCCTCGCGGGACGACAAACCAAAAAAAGTGGTGCCCCCCCTTTTTTATGTTGTGCCCATCCTACTTAAGGACCGCATCCCAGAAATAATTTCGAGCACCCGGAAAAGTCTCAGAAGAGTGTCGAAACAGTGTCGAAACAGTGTCGGGCGAGTGTCTCCCGGGGCCCGACACGTGACAACCCTTGAGTTTCGGTACTTTTTTGGGCGCTCGAAATTCTTTCTGGTGGTCAAGGCTAAAGTAGGTTGGAGCATCATAAGCCCCCCCTCTCACCGTTGCCCCCCGCCTCAGCCCCCACCGATGGCGCGCACGGGTGCTGAGGGGAGGAGGGAGCCAATTGAAGAGTCAGAGTGACACCGGCAGGGCGACAAACACAAAAAGTGGTGCCCCCCCCCTTCGGCACGAACGAAATGGGCACGGAAGGAATGGGTACAATGCCCAACAGCAGTTCCTGTTCATTTTGAACTGGACTCGCTGTCCGCGCCGCCGCGGCTTGTGTCCATTTGAGACAGAAGACCGCCTACCCAACAGCGGCCGCTGTTGGTTTGAGACAACATTTGCTGTTGGGCGTTGTACCCATTCTTTCCGTACCCATTTCGGGCGTCCAACCCTCCCAGGCCAAGATCGGTGCATGTGCATAGTTCTCTTCGCCCGACCCCCCCCCCTCTCGCCGTTGCGCCCCGCCCTCTCCTCCCTCTCCTCCTCCTCCTCCTCCTCCTCCTCCTCGCCTCGCGGGACGACAAGCAAAACAAGTGGTGCCCCCCCCCTCTCGCCGTGGCCCCCCGCCCCAGCCCCCACCGATGGCGCGCACGGCGGCCCTCTGCGCCGCGGCGCTCGCGGCCCTGGCGCTGTGCGCCGGCCCCGGCTTCGTCTCGGGCCCCGCGGCGCCGCGGCGGGAGGCCACCCCGGAGCGGCGAGCGGCCTCGGCGCGAGCTCAGAGGAGGAAGACCCCTCGACTTCAGTCGGGCCTGTCCCTCTACAGGAGGCATATCCAAAGATGGTCACAAAAGAGTCTGGGGACGATGTTTTGACAATGTTTGAGTATTTCAGGGCATTGTTTGCCTATTGTTTAGGTTTCGTCCCTTCTTTAGGGGGACAGGCCCGACTTAACCCTCGACCTCCGCCGCCGCCTCCTCCCGGCTGGGGAGTTTTCGGAGGATCTCGCTGTTTCCTGGGGGCTTCCTCGCCTCGGGGCGCTTCCCAGCAGCTCCGCCTCGTCGAGGGAAGCCCGGGGGGGCCAGAGTCGTCCCCAACGGCCGGTGGAGGCCCGAGGTATCGTCCGAAAGCCAGCGGGGGAGAGGGCACCCTAGGATCCAGGCGATGCCATTATTTCACAACTGGCGTTTTCGCTGAGCGATCCGGCTCGACAAATGTTGCAGAACGGTCGGGTTTTGGGTTCAGGTCGGGGATTCTCACGATGTGGCAACTTTTTCGTAACGTCGGATCTCAGATGCCGCTGCTCGTTCTGCACAGCCCTCGTCGCCAGGGCTGGATTATCCTCGACGTTTCTGGTCTGAACGCACCCCAGGATAGGCCCAGGGAGTAGCAGCATCAGTGTCTGAAGCCATGACGCAAACCCAGATCTCCGACGACGATATCAACGGGCGGCTCCTCCTCGACGTCGCCCTCCCGGGCCCCCTCTTCGGGCCGGACTGCTCCCAGGGAAGCAGCCGGGAGTGCTTCGGGAGCAACCGTTGGGAGGGATAGGCTCGGCGGGGGGACGCATCCGTTCCAGTCGCCCATTCGCCGCCGGAAGGGGCCCGGCGGCCCCAGCCCGCCCAGACCCGTGCGGAGCCGCTGCCAGGGGCCCGTCCCCGATCTACCGGCGGGGTATCGCCGCTGCCGCCGATTCCGTCTCGATGCTCCCTCTACTGATCAGGGGGGGGGAAAGCACACAGACACAATTCATCGTCGACTCCCAGGAAAATATGGGAGAATATGGGAACTGGGGGGGGGAAGACAGAAACCCAGAAAAAATTATTGGAACATATGGGGGATCCTGTTACTTGTGTGTATTTACTTGTGTGTCCCAGGGCCCCTTCGACTGAGCTGGTTCCCACCTATAGCGTCGCCCCTCGCCTCTGGGCCCGCAGGAGGGAAAAGTCGGACCGGCGGACGTCCGGGAGCGGGTTCCGAGGGACCACGGGCCCCGAGGTTGCTCGCTGCCTTCGGGCACTCGGGGCCCACCGCGGGCACTCTGGGACGGTCGAGACCCAGACCCCCGACGTCATGAATTTTTCATGACGTCGACCCCTGCGGTCTGGACCCCTTCCCCGGGACCGGTTTGTCGTCCTGAGTCGTTTTTTGACGGTCCCGAGGGCCGGTCAGGGTCCCCGAAGGCCAAAAATAATGAAAAACCTCCCGTCATGATTTTTTCACAACTCGAGGGGGTCTGGGGAGGCGACCCAGGAGGAAGGCCATGGTCCTGGAGGGAAGCCCCGGGCACTCTGGGGCCCGCTGCCCTCACGACTGGTGCGTGGTGCGCTGGCATGCCCAGCCTCCTATATGGGACGGAGGGCGCTCCGGGGACGGGAAAAAGCGGCATCCGCAGGAGTTTGCAGGGGCGCGGGCGGATTTTTTTTTGGGGGGGTCGGCGTCGGGGCCCCCGCCCCCCCCGGCGGGGCCATGCCGCGCGGGCCTCCGGAGGCCCATGCTTGTGCCGCTTAATGTGGCGCTTCTGCAGGCCAGCGTGGCCGCGGGCGTGCTCCGCAACAACCAGTTCGAGGACATGACCGCCTACGACGCGCCGAGGCGCAAGCCGAACTTCAACGGCATCCGAACGGGCCTCAGCGACCTGCTGAAGCCGCTCAACAGCGAGTACGGCGTGACCGCCAAGGAGGACAGCCCCGCCACGTACGTGGTGCTGGTGTTCGCGATCGTCATGCTGTTCCTCTTCTACACGCTGCTCCTGCTGATCAACAACCAGTCCGTGCTGCTCCCGCCAGAGGACGAGTTCGACGAGTACGTGGCGAACTTCCTGCCGTACTTCTTCTTTGGGGAGCGGTGAGGTGAGACGAGGCGCCAGCGCAGGCGACCGTTGACGTGCGAGTTTTTTATTCAGTGCGCGTGCTGCAGAAGCGAGCGCACCCCCCCCCCAGGGAAAAAGTTGATTTCCATCCCTGTCTTCCCCCTTCCTCCTCCCTCGTTATCCTTCTCTTCCCTCGTAGCCTTCTGCGCGAGTCACGGCACGGCCGATGGGATGGGCCTTTGGCTATTTCTCCTCCCTCCTCACGCTTCCCTTCTCCTCCTTCGCCACTCTAGGCCTTCACTCGTCCCAGCGCCCGCCCGTGCTCCCATCCGGCGGCCGCACGACTCGGCCTGCCCCTGGTCCGCTGTCCTTCGTCATCGACCTCCCCCCCGCCCCCCGTTCTCCCCCCCTCTCGACCAGACAGGACGGCCCCGCGGGGTTGGCGTGGTGGACCGCGCGCTCCCTCCCCCCTCCCCTCGGACAGCTCCGACTAGCTCGCCTGTTCCTCTGTTCTTCTTCATTGTGTCCACTGGCTGTGGTGTGCATGATGCTCGTGATGCTCCTGTCGACCAGCGCGCTTCCTTCCCGCCTCCCAGGCCTTCGGATGAAGGTACGCTTCCTTCCCGCACGGCCTGCCGACCACAGCTCAGACCACGGAGAGTCGTCTGGGACGGTGCTCCCTATTCTTACTCGGAGGTGGAGGAGGAGGAGGAGGAGGAGGAGGACGCAGATGAGGAGGAGGAGGACGCAGATGAGGAGAAGAGGAGGACGCAGATGATGATGATGATGATGATGATGATGATGATGATGAGGAGGAGGAGGAGGAGGAGGAGGAGGAGGGGGAGGAGGAGGCGGCAGAGAATGAGGGCAAGGAGGAGAAGGATTTGCTTGTGGGGCTCCCAAGCCGGGCGAACATGCTTGGTGTGAAACAAATGCAACGCCCGGATCTCGGGATCCCGCCCTCTTTATTCCCCATGGTGCTGTATCCAGCGTCCCCATGAGCTCCGACGTCGTGTTTTTTCCCCGGCGTGAGCCCCGGATGTCTGGACCCCTGCCCCAGGACCCACTGCTCATTCCGAGCGGCGCTCGACAGCCCCGAGGCCCGGCGAGGGCCCCCGGAGGCCGAAACCGAGCCACAGCCTCCCGCAGTGATTCTGTCACAACGAGAGGACGTCACGAATTCACGGCCCTGGGGGAAGGTCAGGAGGCCCCTCCTCCTCCTCCTCCTGCTCCCTCCTCCTCCTCCCTCCTCCTCCTGCTCCTCCTCCTCCTCCTCCTCCTCCTCCTCCTCCTCCTCCTCCTCCTCCTCCTCCTCCTCCTCCTCCTCCTCCCCCTCCTCCTGGGAAGACCCTGAATTCACGATCCCAGGACCATTTGGATCGTGATCCAAGGGTCTCGGGCGCACCGCGCCCGAGAGTCTCCTCCCCGAGTCTCCTCGCCGAGTGCCCTCCCCGAGTCTCGTCCCCGGGTCTCCTCGCCGAGTCTCCTCCCCGAGCCTCCTCGCCGAGTCTCCTCCCCGAATCTCGACCCCGAGTCGTGTCCCCGAGTCTCCTCCCCGAGTCTCCTCCCCGAGTCCCCTCCCCGAGTCTCGCCCCCGAGTCCCCTCCCCGAGTCGCGTCCCCTAGTCGCGTCCCCGAGTCTCGTCCCCGAGTCTCCTCCCCCAGTCTCATTCTCGAGTCTCCTCCCCGAGTCTCGTCCGAGTCCCTCCCCGAGAATCCTCCTCGAGACTCCTCCCCGAATCTCCTCCCCGAGTCTCCTCGCCGAGTCTCCTCCCCGAATCTCGACCCCGAGTCTCGTCCCCGAGTCTCCTCCCCGAGTCTCGTCCCCGAGTCTCCTCCCAGGCTTCCCCCCCTTCCCGACTCTCCTCCCCGAGTCTCGTCCCCGGCTCCCCCCCGTCCCGACTCTCCTCATCGAGTCTCGTCCCCGAGTCTCGTCACCGACTCTCCTCCCCGAGTCTCGTCCCCGAGTCTCGTACCTGACTCTCCTCCCCGACTCTCCTCCCCAACTCTCCTCCCAGACTCTCCTCCCCGACTCTCCTCACCGAGACTCCTCCCCGACTCTCCTCCTCGGCTCTCCTCCTCGACTCTCCTCCTCCCCGACTCTCCTCCCCGACTCTCCTCCCCAACTCTCCTCCCCGACTCTCCTCCTCGGGTTCCCTCCCCGACTCCCCCCCCCGAGTCTCATTCTCGAGTTCCCTCCCCGAGTCTCCTCCCCGACTCTCCTCCCCGACTCTCCTCCCCGAGGTCTCGTCATCCCCGACTCTCCTTCCCGACTCTCCTCCTCGACTCTCTCCCCGACCCTCCTCCCCGACTCTCCTCCCCGACTCTCCTCCCCAGCTCTCCCTTCCGACACTCCTCCCCGACCCTCCTCCCCGACTCTCCTCCCCGACTCTCCTCCCCGACTCTGCTCCCCGACTCTTCCCCGAGTCTCGTCCCCGACTCTCCTCCCCAACTCTCCTCCCCGACTCTCCTCCCCGAGTCTCTCCTCCGGGGCTGTCCTTTTCCTTGTTAGAAAACGCTTGGGTCGTGATCCAAGCGTTCCCGGGAGCGAAAAGCGCTTGGATCGTGATCCGAGTGGCCTGGGATCCTTAGTTCAGAGAGTTTCGGGTGAACTGATGCGGCGCGAGCCTGCGACCCCACCTGCTCGGACCCCAGAGTGGGAGGCCCCCAAGCGAGGGGCGGATGGCCGCCGGGGGGGGGGGGATTCCTGAGGATTCCCTTAGACTTCATGGGGATTCCTGAGGGTTCTCGGGGATTCCTCGGGACAGTTTAGGACCCCCCAAGGATCCCCAAGGATTCTCAGGGACCCCTGAGGATTCTAAAGGACTCCTGGGGTCTGGCACACATGGTCGACGGTCGGAGGTGCAAAACAGTGCAGCGTTGCGTGCGTGTGAGAAGCCCAGACCCCGTCGGGTCGTGACAAAAATCGCTACGGGAGGTTTTTAGCTATTTTCGGCCTCGGGGGGCCCTTACCTGGCCTCGGGGCCGTCCAACAACGGCACAGGACGCAAAGCCAGTCCCGGGGAATGGGTCGAGACCTCTGACCTCGTGGTAAAATCATGCCGTCGGGGGTCTGGGAGAGCAAACTTACTGCATCCGCGCGCAACTATTGCATCCAACGCGCTATCAGCTGCATTCAGCTGGCATGAACTGTTCCCTCCGTCCCCCGGGACCAGTTTTTCATCCCGAGTCTTTTGTCGACGGGTTTGGGACCCGGCGAGGGCTCCCAGAGCCCAGAGGCCTAAAAAACGGTTGAAAACTTGCGTGGGTTGGGTTCCCAGCGGACCCTTCTGCGTCAGGCCCACCACTCGGGCCTAGCTTTATTAGCCGGCGCCCAGCGTCCTGCCCCCGCTGCTCGCCTGCTCGGCCGCCGCGCCGCCAGGTTCGACTGCCAGTGCCCCGCGTGCCTGGCGAGCCACCGAGCCGAGAGCGACCTCCGCCGCAACAAGCTGAAGAGGATCGACGCGGACATCCGCGCGAACAGGCTCCAGCCCGGACGCGCGTCGTCGTCGTCGTCGGCGTCGTCGTCGTCGTCGTCGTCGTCGTCGTCGTCGGCGTCGTCGTCGACGTCGACGTCGACGTCGACGTCGGCGTCGTCGTCGTCGACGTCGTCGTCGTCGTCGTCGTCGTCGTCGTCGTCGTCGTCGTCGTCGGTGGCGTGCCTCGCAGCGCCGTGGCGACGCGCGCGGCGCGTCGCGCACGCCGCCCCGGGCCCAGCCGGTGCTCCGCCAGCCCCCCGTGGGTGCGCCGCTCCGAGGGGCAGCGTCGGGGGGGGGGGGGGACCTCCCAGGCCTCCGACGGCATGGTTTGTCCGTCTCCTCCTCCAGCGTGTGTCCGCGGTCTCGGCCCTCGGGTGCCGTCTTCGGGCCCCGGGGGTTCTCAGCGGGGGATGCGGGGCGGAAGACTGCCCTCCGGGGCAGTGATAGCAAGGGGGGAACAACACCACCCCGACGCGACAATCGGCGTTCACTTCACGGCCCTGGGCCTTTCGTGAGCAGCCCTGCCCGCTTCGATCCCTTCTGTGGGTGCGTTGACTGCGCGGCTTCGCGTGTCGGGGTGGTTCTTCTGGGGGGGATTCTTCGACCTCTGGTTCGGGCTCGCGTTTACCCCGCATGGAAACGAAGGGGGGTTTGATGCGCGCATGTTTTCAGGTGACCTTTCGCTTGGCGAAGCATATTCTCACTTGATGTGTAGGCCTTGGTTCAGGAGAGGGAAAAACACACAGACACAAGTAAAATATGGGACAATATGGGAAGCGGGGGGGAAGACAGAAACCCAGAAAATATGGGAAAATATGGGGGATCTTTTAATTCGTGTGTATTAATTTGTGTGTCCCAGGGCCCCTTCAGAAACGTCTTCTTACTTGACGTGTAGGCATTGGTCGCAGGCATGGGAGCTCTTCGGGCGCGGATCGCGGAGCACCGTGCCGACCCCGACCCCCTCGCGCCCGCGCAGCGGACCACGGCGGGCGGCCTCCGGCAAGGTTCGGCCCGCCCTCGCCGGCAAGGGTCGACCCTCCTCCTCCTCCTCCTCCTCCTCCTCCTCTACCTCCTCCTCCTCTACCTCCTCCTCCTCCTTTTTCTCCTCCTCCTCCACCTCCTCCTCCTCCTTTTTCTCCTCCTCCTCCTCCTCCTCTTCCTCCTCCTCCTCCTCCTCCACCTCCTCCTCCTCCTCCTCCTCCTCCTCGAACACTGCAGGCAAGGCGGTCTGTCCGCCGCAGCCCGAGCCGCGCCGCCGCGCGCGGCGCGACGCACGGCCCCCTTCCTCGGAGAGCCTCGGGAGGGGGCCTCAAATTGCCTCTGGAACCCAAGGCCACCCGCAACCAGGAGGGAGAGAGACGCCTAAAGTGGCCTCGGAGAGAAGGAATGCGGGAGCCCCGAGAGCCCAAGGGTCCGAAGGCCAACGGGAAGGCGCGGGGACAGAGCGAAGGCGAGGGCCACCAGGGGCACGGGAGAAGGGCCGCCTGGACCAGGAGAGGGGGGGGAGGCCAGGCCAGGTTAAGCGATCACTTGTGGATCGCCCAGGGCCCGTCTCCGTTCCAGCATCCGTCACCCAACCGACGGTCGCGTACCACATGTCGGCGCGTTGCGACTCTTTGGGTGACGGAGGCTGGTGGAGGGGCGTCGCTGAGACACCAGTCTCGGTAGTGTAACTAGAAGTCTTCTGAGGCCTCCAGAAAGCGGCGGGCCGCCCGGGCCTGTAGTCACTGGTAGGTGTTCATCTCATCCCCCTCGCTCCGCGAGGGGGCCTTCGTGATGATGTAGGGCCCGTACAATTGATGGTTCGGGGCGATCGCGTGGTGGTCGCTGCCGCCGTCGATCATGTGCCCCTGTTACGGGCTGTGAGGATGTCTCCTGGCCATGTGGAGTCGGTGGTCCAGGTCCAGGTCGCGGCTCGAGGAGTCCAGCTTGACGAAGTTGCTCAACGCCTTCGTGATGCTGGCGTGGCTGGTGCTGCGCTGTCTCCAGGAGTGATGCCCCACCACCGACTTCCGTCCCAGTAGCCTCAATGACCCCCGTCGGTCGGTACCCTCTGCCTCCCAAGCGCCCCATGGGCTGGGGAGGTGGACTATGCCGACCTCCCAAGCGCCCCGTGGGCTGGGGAGGTGAGCAGTGCGTGCCGACGGGTGTTGAAGAACATGCAATACTTCCTGTTGGTGCCGCTGGAGGTAATGCTGAAGTCGAAGATGCCAGCCTGGGAGGTGCGGTCTCTGGTGGAGGCCTCTTGGGAGGGTATCCTGCAAACTGTGTATGTGCCATAATAGACGACAGCTCCTTCTGGATCTCCTCCGCCGACAGTTGGCCACCGTACTGTCCAGGTCGCGGCTCGAGGAGCACCGCGCCTGGACGTTCTGACATCCAGCAATCGTTGCCATCATATCCATTATAGTGCCACGTCTGTGCCTTTGTGTATGCGTCGGCGGTGGGCTGGAGTGTTTGCTCTATGGCCTGCGTCAGTGTCGTTGTCGTAGTGATGTCTGCAGGACAGTTGCAAGCAGTGAATGCTGTGGTCGGGGTTGTGCTGCACGTCGTTGTGATGTATGCATATTCCTGTATCTGCAGGTGTCGGAGGCTGCTGTCCAGGATGATGGTAGGTGTGCGCATCGTCATCATCCGCTGTGCGGTCCGTAGGACGTGCCGCATGCTGTCGTTGTCTTGTCGTACCGCTTTGTGCTGCGTGGGTGTGAGGTCCAGTCGTCCCCAAGGTGCCTCTTGCGTCCTGAGGTTGAGGTCGCGGTTGAAGGTCGTAAGGTCGGCGTCGATGATGCAGAAGGCAGCGTGGTCGTATGGTGTCGTGGCCATGTCGGAAGCCGTTGGGTCGGTTTGGGGTGGGTGCATGGTTGGCAGGTGGTGGAGTTCGATGGAGATGCTGTGTCTGTCTGCGGTGGCTTGGAGGGCGTCGGTCACCGCGCTGGTGTGGTCGTGGTTGGTGGTGAAGAGCAGTACAATGCTGGGCTTTCCTGTGATGTCAGTCATTCCCGTGTCTGCTCGGTTGGGTCCGCTGTCTTGTGTGGTGGGTGCGTCGGTGGGTAATTGGGCTGGTATTGGTCGGTGGTCGTGGTCGGCGTGGGTTGGTGGTCCCAGTGATGGCCCCTGTAGCTGGATGGGTGGCCGCTCGGCGTAGTCTTCTGGAAGCCCAGCGTGTCGGTTGGATCGTCGTACGCGTCGGGTCTCCTCCTTGTGCGCGTCGATGTCTTCTGTTGGCGGCTTCGCTCCGATCTGCATCAGTGTGGCTGCACACTGGCGTGACGATTTGACGTGTTTGGTAAGTCTGTTCGCGGTGTAGAAGTACTTCAAGCATACCTGGCAGGTGTCACCGACGATGTAGTTGTCTATGGTGTGCTTGTCCTGGTGGACGGCGTAGACATGCTTGTTGTGTGCTGCTTTGGTCTTGAATGTAGCACCGCAATGGTAACACATAACTCTGGCTGGTGCTGGTGTCGTGGTTCCTGCTTGTCGGGGTAGTGGCAGCACTCCCAGTGCTGTTGCCGTTAGCGATAGGTCTGCGCGCAGCTGGTCCTGCGCTGCTCGGTCGGAGGATGAGTCTTGTGCACGCTTGTAGGTGCTCGTAATAAAAGACTTGACCGTTTGCATGTCGTTGCGTGCAGCCTTGATGAAGTCGATGATGTCCTTGGGTGCGGTGGTGATGCGGGTGCCGTCGCAGTGCTGTCGGCATGTGTGGATGTCGTTGTTGATGGTTTGCGTCCAGGTGCCGTTGACTTCGATGTCGTAGTCAATGAGTGCCTGCGTTTCGTACGGGCATCCTTTTATGAGTCGCAGAAGTTCTCGCAGTCGTAGCCATCGTAGTCGGTCTTCGAGGTTCGGTAGTTGGGCACGTGCCAATATCTGCTCGTTGGTGATGTGTTTGTCCTTCATGGCCTTGTGTGTAATTCCTATTGCCTGTCGTGCCGCAGTGACGTAGGCTGTGTTGATCCTGTGGTAGTCCCGCGCTGTTGTGATGATCCATGTCCCCGCGTTAAATAGCAGTCTTGAATAGCCGAAGGACTCGAGGTAGTGGATCTTAGTCTGGATGGAGATGGCTTGTCGTTGGAACAAGGTGCGTCGGAGTGGGCCTGTTGTCTCGCGTAGCGCGATGGTGCGTGCTGCCGTCTCCTGGCCCATGTCGTTCCTGTCGTTGAACATCGCGCCCAGCAGCTTGGTGCTTCTAGCGATGGTGACGCAGAGCCCCATGTCGGTGATGCTGTGATTGTCCCGTATCATGGTCCGTGTAGCTCTTTTGCCTGCGACGGTGTTGGGGTAGACGATGAAGCTGGACTTCTTGGTGTTGATCGGGAGGCCTCTTCGCAGTGTCGCGCGTATGAGGTGTCCCCACATCTTGGAGATGAGTGCGTGTATCGTGGTGCCGTCTGCCGTGGATGCAGCCGCCTTGACGTCGTCTACGAAGGATGTAGAGGACAGTGTGGCGTTGTGGTCGCAAGCTCGGAGGCGTGGTGGGGCATGCGGTATGTCGAAAGTCGCTCCATCCTCGACGGCGTGGTCGTGGTAGTCTCGCGTGACGTCCGCCATGAGCATGTTGAATGTGAAGTCGGCTGTTGGTACGCCAGGGCGTGTACCAAGTCGTGGTGCTGCGTAGCTGCATTGGTCGTCGATGTAGAACCAAGTCCCAGTGTGTGCCTCCGTGAGCATGTCGACAATGTGTTGGTTGTCCACGTGTTGGTTGACGATGCCGTTGTCGGTCATGAGGGCCTCAATCGCGGGAAGCATGACATGGGGAATGTCGATGTGGGCGAGAAGGTCGTCCAGCTGCTCCTTGGTCTGGGTGAAGTTGTACACGAGCTGGTTGACTACCTTGTGGAAGGCTGCTTTCAAGTCTATCATGATGATGACCATGTCGTGCTTCGCGTGGTAGGCAGTATTGGATAGGAGCCGCATCGTCATGTGGTTGATGTCCGTGCTGTAGTGGTGTCGGCCTCCCGTCTGAGTGGAGAAGAGCATCGTGGGGATTAGGTCCTTCATGCATTGT